AGCTAAGGCCACTGCTTTCTGTGGGTTCCCAGCCCCCTTCTCACGCCTTCTCTGTTCTACCAGGATCGAGTCAGTGTCCCTGGTTATATGGTTCTCACAAGCTGCTTTTTGTTGCTTTTTCCCATCGATTTGTCTGTGTTATAGTTGTAATTCCAGTTTGGTCCTGGGAGACAGTCTGTGTAGCTTCCATTCACTCCGCTGCCATTTTGGAATCTCAATAAAAATATCTTAATTGAAGCCATAGATGACAGTTTACCTTCAAAGGAACAACAGTTATACTGAGAGCTGCCCTTTGAAGAGTAACAATGGAAACCAGCATTCAGGGGAATAATGTTTTCAGTGGGCTAAGAAAAGATGAATGCAAATCCTGAAGTACAGTCACTTGAATATCTTGGAAGAGTAAAAGTGAAATAGCTTTTTTTTTTTTTTTTTTTTTTTTTTTTGTCAGAGAGAAAGTATAAGAGTTTACCACCAACAATCCTGAAGGGTGTGCTTCAGGAATAAGGAAAGCTCTATCCTAGTTGGAAGATAGAAGGCACAAAAATTGAAGAGCAAAGGAGGTGGGAAATCTATGGGAACTCTAACAGGCATTCCCTAAAGAAGCCAGTGATGATAATGTTTGGTTCAGTTAAAAAGTGTAAACCCAAATAAAACTCACATATATAAAAATAATAGCATCTACCTGGGGAAGGATTCTTATAAGATTTGTCTATCTTTTTGGAAAAATGCTAAATATTGACTTACTTTAGATTTTTCTTTTACATATCCATGTTAAAATCTTTAGGGTTACCACTAAAAGACTATAAATAGTCTATAAAATCTTTAAACCAAAAAAGGGAGAAATGAAATTGAAGATAATGAAGACATGTGTTTTACCTTTCAGGCTCTTAGTATCTAGTAAGCAGTGGTAAAGACGAGGAGTGACTTCAGGGGGCATTCTCGTCCCCAGTTTATGAACCACACAGATTTGCTTGGTGGCACCTTTCCTTACACCCCTCACCTCAACGCTTGAGCTGCTTTGGATTGTTTCCAGACTGGAGAAACCCTAGCAAAGGCTCCTGCCCTTCCTGCAGGTGTGTGCAGTTGATGCCAACACTGCCACTAATTGAGGAGCCTCTGGATGGGAGCCAGTTACCCAGCAGAGGTTAGCATGCCTGGGTGCTTGCTATGCCTTGCCTTGGCACTCTCTGGCTTCCTTAGCATTTGTCTGGAAGGGCCACATAACACAAACCCCAAGTGTGTGGGAGTCAACACTGGCATGGACATTAACCAGTGAGAGGCAGGAGACAGAAGAAACCAGCAGGTGGTTCTTTCTCATTACTTCACTACCCCACAGTTTCTCCCAAGGCTCAGTAATTTGAAACTGGACATATCCTGAGAGACCGAGCAGAGCTGTAGCCAGCTGGATTACAAACCCTCTCACATTAGTGCCCCCTCCTTGAGTGATTTACTTCCTTTTTTTCTCTCACTCATGCTTTCCTGGTATTGCACCCTTTTGATAACATAAATGTATGTCTTAGACTGTGTTTTAGTGATTCCATTCTAGGACAAGAACTTTCAGACACCTGTCCCTATGCTGCTTGGTGAATCCTCCAAAATAAACATGTAAACTAAATAATAAAAAAGTTCCTACCTGTGCAAATGCAGCTTTAAGTTGGTTTTCTACTTCTTCTTTCCTTTCTAACAAAATTGATGCCATCTCCTGAGCTCTTGCCATGTAGACATTTGGAGTCTGGGTAGTAAAAAAGATAAGCAACACACATGAATGCCTGTCATCCGAGATCAAACATGTAAGTTCTACCGTAGAGGTACAACATAAGTTTGAGAAAGGTCTAGTCAGTAAGGTTTGATGGAGCACAGAGTGTGTTGGTGAGAGTAGGAGGTTAAAATCGAAGGTTGTCTTAAGGTTTTAATGTTACACAGACCTTGAATTAAAGGCTAGGTGTTTGAATTTTATATAGTGAATGACGGGAAGTCAATTGAAAGTTTTTAATAGTGAAGTAACAGAAGAAAACATGTTATACATACATAGAGATGTATATATACATACGCATTGGTACATACATATATGTATTTGAGCAAAGGGTTTATAAAAATCCTCCCCCAACCCTACGTTAGAATTTCACTTTCAATTAGTTATCTTGCTTTGTTTCCCTGGTATCCTGACAGAGATTATTCTATGTTTCCAGGCAGCATTGCTTATGATAAAAATGGCCCTGATTGGTGAAATGCATGTGCACTGGGAGGAAGAATAAATAAACTCTAGAGAAGTTTGCCACACTTTGGGCCTTCCTAAATGCAGTGATTCTTGTAATTGAGCCTGTCCCTTATGGGGACCCTGGAAGCTGTGCCTGTGGAGTTGTTAGAAAAGATATTAGTACCTGTGGGATGGGGGGCTTTTAAAGCCAGGACAGCTCCTTTACCTGCCCAGTGTGAGTCTCATCTTGCTGTGAGGACCATCAGAAGGCCTTTCGTGAAAGAGCTGTAGGTCACCCTGCCCTCTTGGCAATCTGTGGTTCCTGTCCTGTGATAGTTAATGACAAATGTGGTCTGCTTAAATATTTATTCAAGTCAGAAGAAAATATAATGGTGAAAAGACCAGAAACCTAGAAATCATTAAAGTGATGTGACTGACTATAAAAAAAAAAAAATTGTGAAACTAAAAAGATACTCCAAGTAAATTCAGAAGACAGTTTAGAAAACATTTACAAAATCAGATGGCAGATGGCAGATATTAATATCTATAATATATGTCTTGTTAAAAAAAAAAAAAAAATAAGTAGTGCAATGGGGAAAAAAGGGCAAAGGATAAGAATAGGCACTTGACAGAAGCAAAACCAAATGCTGAATAGACAAATAAGAAGATGCACAGTTATTAAAGATCAAGGATTATACTGCAACAGCATATCCTGTGTCAAACTAATAATAACACTTCTTGTGGGAGTTTGGTAGAGGGCCATGGAAGTATTTCCTAAAACTAATAATTTCCCTACCCAAACCTATCCATTCCTCTGCTAGTACTCCAAATAGTAAAAGTGCATTATGAAAATAAAGATGTTTATTGAATGTTGTTATTACCAACAACAGTGTGAATGCCCAAAAATTGGTTCTGGTTGAATAAAGGATGGCAAATCTAGTCTATTTACTACTGAGCAGTCTTTAAAATTTTTATCTCTACCAATGGACTAGATGGTATTTTTTTTGAAGTATAGGCATATGTGGAGAGTAAGTGGACAGAGAAGTGTGTAAATATAATCTTGGTATATAAATATGGATTCCTTCTGTTGTTAATCCTCACCCAAGGATATTTTTTCATTGATTTTTAGAGAGAGTAAAAGTGAGGGAGGGAGAGAGAGAGAGAGAGAGACATCGATGTGTGAGAGACACATGGATTGATTGTCTGCATGACCCCAACCAGGGCCAGGGATCAAACCTGCAACCCAGGTACGTGCCCTTGACCAGAATTGGTCCATGGGCTGTCTCTCTAACCGCTAAGCCAAACTGGGTAGGACTATAGGTTCCTTTTGTTGGAGGAGTTGGGCAGTTGGCAGAAGGGGTAGATGAAGAATGACATGAAAAAAATGACACCACAAATGTATAATTCTATTTATGTAAGTTTTATGTGCTGGTATATGCATAAAGAGACACGGTATGGTTATTCATAAATGTTAAAGGGCAGTTATCTGAAGACAGAGTTTTAGGTAATTTTTAATGTGTTTCCTTTATACTTATGAATTTTAAAAAATATGCTTGTATTTTTCTTTTTAAAAAAGTTTTTTTTGTTGATTTTAGAGAGGAAGGGAGAGAGAGAGAGAGAGAAACATTGATTGGCCACCTCCTGCATGCCCTGCACCGGGGATTTGGCCCACAATTTGGGCATATGCCCTGACCAGGAATCAAACAGGTGACCTCTTGGTGCATGGGTCAATGCTCAACCACTGAGCCATACCGGCTGGGCAAAAATATGCTTGTATTTAAATATATATTATTATATGTTACATAATTTATAGTGTAATGAAAAAAATGTATATTCAAATAAAGGATAATGAAAACATTGATTTTATTAGGGAGAGCCGGTTACTAAGTGCTTTCTGTAGTTTCTCCTTATCTAGGTTTTCTCTTTCTGTGGTTTCAGTTGCCCGTGGTCAACCCTGTTCCCAGAATATTAAATGGAAAATTCTGGAAATAAACATGAAGTTCTAAATTGTGCGCTATTCCTAGTAGTGTGATGAAATCTTGCATTGTCCCACTTTGTCCTGCCCCATATGTGAATTACTTCCCTTTATTTGGCATAATCATGCTGTATGTGCTACCAACCAAAGTCTCACAGCTCATGATTTTAGCACATGTCTTTCTAACCATAGTGCTAATTGCACTTTACATGCTTTTTCCAACATACCACGTTATCTTCCTTTTATTTATTTTTTAATCCTCACCCGAGGATACTTTTCCACCTATTTTTGTTTTTTAGATTGAGAGGGAGGGAGAGAGAGAGAGAAACATTGATGTGTCTGAGAGACACACTGATTGGTTGACTCCTTCATGACCCCAACTGGGGATGGGGATCAAACCCACAACTCTTTTTGGTCCACGGGCCAACACTCTAACCACTGAGCAAACTAGCCAGGGCATATCTTCCTTAACATGAAGGTATTCTGTACTGGGAGGAGCTCTATATATGTAATAGAATATATCATTTACTCTTAAGAGCTTTAGGGGAGAACTGAGGTGTACTGGTTGTATACTACAGGTGTTTACTCCAAAATTAAATCTGAATAAATAAATATTGAGCTCCTGAGAAACCGTATGGAGAAAACTATTAATGTTTTAAGTAGTGAGTGTGTTTCTAATTTTTTAAGGATAAAGATCATAATATTTATCTCTGAGCCCTATTTCTGCATAATTATAATGTATTTCTTTTTGAAATTTATTCAGTCAAAACTAGAAATTTAATAATTCCATTGCATTCATTTTAAAACTTTTTAATTTTTTATCTTTAGGTTATCTTCACTGTAATGAATATGATTGTCTGAGATTGAAGTGGCTGAGGCAGACATTAGAATCCTTCATCCCACAGCCTTTGGTAAATGTAATTAAAGTGTCTGAATTGGATGGCAGAGAAATGGGAGATGCCCAGCCTGAAACGTTTGACAAGGTACTTTTATTACATTGTGACAAACGGATGGACTCCCAGTGATACCACTGTTAGGTTGCTTTTTTGTTATTTTCCATTTGCTTCCAGATGGAGTCTGATATAATTTCTAGTATCCTGGGAAATTTTGATAAAGTGAACATGGAAGCAGTTTTCATTTGATGGTCAGCATGGTTCAAAGGATTGGAGATTATAGAATGTGTTTTATTTCCAAGTACCTCAAAGATACTTAGGAGAAGATCAGATGATATCTGGGTCAGTACACAAACATGTGCATTGTATTGCTCTAATTCTGTAACATTTCATTTCAGAGTATGATGATAGAAAAAAAAGAGAGCATTTCAATAAACTGAAATTGAAATATTAGTTCCTAAAAATAAATGCCGAGAATTTAGAAATATAATATCTGTTTAAAATGAGTCACTTTTGTAAAATTATTTGCTGTAGTTGTCAAGAATATTAAATATTAGTAGACATTAGTAGACTTTTAATCCTCCCATTCCTACTACTTTCCCAGCCCCACCCCCCCAAATCCAAACACTGAAAGTGCACAGGAAATTTTGCTGCAAAGTATTACTGAAGAAATGTCATGAAGAACTTACCACTGTGTAGTTTGGGCTTTAAAAGAAATGTCTTTTTGGTCATTTTACATAGCACCCCTATATACTTTGTGTCTGAAGATATATTTTCAGCACATACTTGCATTACGTGTCCTCTTTTTCCCTAGGTGTTAGTTGATGCTCCTTGTTCAAATGATCGAAGTTGGTTGTTCTCTTCTGATTCTCAGAAGGCAGCCTCTAGGATAAGCCAACGGAGGAAGTTGCCTGTTCTACAGAAAGAACTCTTAAGGTGAGGACGATGAATGCACACATTTATTTTGGTTTATTTAATGTAATTTTTAAATAGGTGTGACAGAACATGGCACAGGGAAGCCCCCTAATGGAGGGTTTCCTCTGTAGGTGTCAATAATTATTCCTGCAAAGGCTGTACCTAGAAAATTCTCAATCTCTTCCTTTCAGCTCTCATGCTGTAATGTTCCTTCTGCCCTGTCCCGTCAATGAAATACAGTATCACTGTGCTTTCTTTTAAAAGGCACAAATAATTTTACTGTGGTTTAAAATTGTTTTCTTATTGGGACCATCCTAAGCCTAGGGTTCATCACCATATTCTTGCACCAGAATTTGAACCAGAATGGGGCTTTGGACCATAATGCTTTTTTTCTTTTCTTTTGGTATTGGACACATTGTTCTGGATGAGTCAGCCAGCCTCCTAGGAAGTTGTAGGAAACTGTTAGCACTTATTCCCCTGATAAGAATTTTCCAGAAGAGCATGACCACTAAGAGATACTAGGTTTCCTTCATAACAGAGGCATTTGGGGACTGCCTTGTTTTCAAAAAAGAATTCTTCTTATACCGTACTCCCAGGTAATTCCTGTTGTTTAATGTTGAATACAGATTCTCTGGAGTATTTAAAATATAGTTAAATGGTGCCTTATCACTCATTACTACTTCTTTTTTTTTTTTTTTTTTTTTTGTTAATCCTCACCCAAGGATATTATTCTGCTGATTTTGGAAGGGAGGGAGAAAGAGAAACATTGATGTGAGAGAGACAAACCCATGGGTTGCCTCCTGCACAATCCTGACTGTGGCCAGGAATTGAATCTGCAACCCAGATATATGCCCTCGAGTGGGAATCAAACTTGCGACCCTTCGGTCCACAGGCCAACGCTCTAACTGCTGAGCCAAACCAGCCAGGGTTCACTCATTACTTCTTACATGTGGAAGGAGAATGAGGGAGGGTTTCTGTGCACTGCTGACAATGTGTTATACTTCCTACTTCTTACTGACACACAACTATGAATATCTGCCATTACCTAGGTGTTACAGCCAACACTTGTTCTCGTTCTTGTATCAGATGATGTATCAGCTCATTATGGTAACTCTTGGTAGTGCCTACTAGAGGGTTCTTGTAAACATTTCTCATCAGACAGACTGTTTGTTTGTATGCCTCCAATGTCAGCCTTTCATATATTATAATTCTAAGATAATTTGAGAATTCTTATCAACTTTTCCTTCTATCTCTTGGGTTATTAGCTTTGGGATGTTACATAGCTTCTGTTCTTCATCCTCTTTCTCAACTAAACTTTTTTGATTTGCCTTCTTAGTTAATTATTCCTGCTCCTCTGGGCCTTGCTATTATTAGACCTTATACCCTATAACAGACCCTGAATCTTATGAAGGTTAATTAATATTATGACCTTTAATTTATTTTTTAAGCTGTAAGCTATTAGGATTCCCGAGAATATTATTTTTCTTCTCTCTCTCATGAAAAATTCTTCCTTCACTTCTTTTTCTTCCTGGTCCTTACCAAGCTTTTTGTGTTTTATATTCTGTCTACTGCTTTCCTGCCATTTTGTTTCAATTCATTGTAATGTATTCAACTAATACAAGTGAAGTAGATGGCCCCTTGGCCAAAGACAACCAGATACCAGCTTTGTTCACAGTGCTAAGTCCACTTAAGTTTGGTGTAAAGTCTTTTAAATTTTTTGTATAGCTTCTCTTACAACTACATGTACCTGGAGAAATACATTAGAAAATAACCTCTGTCATTATGCCTATATTGTTCTGAAACTTGCTCTTTTTTGTACTTACTATTTCTTAAAGTCTTTTCCTTGTAAATTTTCTCTTTTCTATTCACCTTCTGTGAAATGTTCAATAAAGCCAGTCTGTCATACTCCATTTAATTATCTATTTTGGATAATCACATTTTTTTTTCACTTTTGCAAACTATCCTTTAATTTGTCTCATTGGATACATCTACTGACATTTTCCTTGATTAAATATCAAGAAGTGGAATTGAGGATCAAACATTTTGGCAGATATGTTGAATTGTTCTCTAAAATCCAGTCTTTTTTGTTGCATTTGACTTTGTTGACTGCTTGTTCCCTCTTAAAATAGTATATTGCCTTGATTTTTGTAATCATATGCTTTTCAGGTTTTCTTTTTACTTATTTTCTTAATTTGCCCTTAATTAGTTCATCCCATAAGTTTTGGGTTTCTTTAGCTCCGTTTTTTATTTTGGAGACATTGTCTCCGAAATATGGGTCTAAGCTCAGATATTTCTCCTTTGTCTCAGACCTATATATTCAATTTCCTATCAGAGATCTCCATTTGGAAGTTGCTCAAACACATAGAACTCTGTCAAGAGGGAACTCATAAGTTCTAATGATCTTCTACCCCGTCCCCAATTAATGAAACAAAAAATCAAATAGAAATCCCACCAACCTGCCTCTTTTCTTTTCTTCTGTATCTCAGTAATTGCCATCCATACCACCGTTCACATGGCTAAGTCAGAAGTTCATCCCCAAATTCCCTTTCTCATATGCAATCTATCGCTAGGACATTTCAGTTGTACCTGTTACATATTTCTCAAGCTCATGTAATTCTTAATAGCCTGATCTAAACCACTAGCATCTGTCACCTAAATCACTGCAACCTGCTCCTAACTGCCCTGCATGTCTCCAGGTGTGAGCACTACTTCACTCCCCATAATAAAGCCAAATTCAATCTGCAATGTAAATCTGATCTTGTTATTTTCCGTTTTGAAATCTTGCAGTTGTTCCCCATTGCCATTAAGATGTCATATTCCTTACTATGGTATGCAAGTCCTTTCTGGATTTGATTCCTTCTTATTTCACTAGCCTCATGTCTCTGGATTCTTCTTGCATTGTGTTCCAACTGAGCAGCTCCTCACACCCACCTTACAGGGTCTCATTTCTGAGGTCAGTGCATTTTCTGTTCCTTTTGCTTAAGAGTTCTTCTAACTCATTCTCTCCTTTCTCTTGATTAACTCTACTGGTATATTACCTGACTCTCTAGGACTGAGATTGATATTCCCCTCATGTCTTTAGCTTTATTTAAAAATGTGTGTGTTTTTATAAATCCTCACGTGAGGATATTTTTCTGTTTATCTTCAGACAGAGTGAGAGGGAGGAGGTGAGAGAGAGGGAGAGAGAGAGAAACATCGATGTGAGAGAGACATATCGACTGGTTGCCTCCCGTATGACCCCGACCAGGGCCGGGGATGAACCGCAACTGAGGTATGTGCCCTTCACTGGAATCAAACCTGTGATTCTTTGGTCTGTGGGCCAACACTCTAACCACTGATCCAAACTGGCAGGGCAGGAAAATTTTTTGATTGGACTAGACTTGTGTCTGTTTTATCTGTTGACAGATAATGGTGCTGAAAGGTACTTGATGCTCTCCATGGCTGTATATTCATTTATCCTATCAGAAATCATTCATATTTACCGTGAATAAGCGTAGTATTCAGCATTTTCGCTTTTGAAAACATTATATTCTACAACCAAATATTAATCTTGTACAAATATTTATGAATTTGATGCTTCACTGAAAATCTACATTTTGCTTATTAGAAGTTTCTAGATGTTAATTTTTAAAAAAAAGGAATAATGTTAATAGGTATGGAATAGTAATATATATGTAATAGTCTTTTTAAAATTATGTAAAAATTAATGTATGTATAGAATATATAATATATATAATCATTAAAACAGTAATCTAATGTGATGTTTTAACATGAAAAGGTTCCTGGAAGGCACAGTGATGACAGGAGAAAGATCTCAAAGCAGATGAGTTCATTTTGCACTTATTAAGGACTCTGATTTATTCACACAGAAGTGGAAAAGTTAGAATCTTCTATTAAATTTATAAAACATGGAGAAAAAAGTTACATACAACTCTCTCAAACATCGTCCCCCAAATCATTTTCAGAAGATGACAAAGTGGGAAGGGATATAAGGAATAATTGAACATAAGCCAATTCTAATTATAGAGTGCCAATTGAAAGTATACCTTTATTATTATTTCTCAAAATAATTTCTGAGACCAAGCATGTGTGTTACATGCTATGGGTGTTCATATTGCATAATAAGATTTTCTTGCCTCATTTTGAATTTAAATATATTAAGAAAAACAGTGGGAAAATATACTAAAAATGATATGTATGTAGTCTTTTTTGAAAGTGACCATGATGTTTATACAAGAGAAGTTCACATGATTTTTCAGTGGAAAGGTACAAATGAAGAGTATGATTTATAACAAAAATATAGGTATCTTATTGCAGTAATGTATCATGTCATCCATTTTCTCAGAGGAAATCAATCACATTTAAAATCCTGACCCCTTCTGGTTTTCTTTTCTCACTAGTTGACAAGTAAAATCCATTTTGTGAATCCATTGAAAAGGGAAGCTTAGATTATTTTGTAACATTTTGAAAATTTGTATAAATCATCTACATAATAATCCTTAAAAAGTGGTACATTGGCAGTGAAATTTGTGTTTTAAAAGAAACATTAAAAAGAATCAACATTGCTTCTTGAACTGAAAGAAGGGTTACCTAGTGACTATGGAGTAGTGGCCTTCATCATTCATCAACATAGTGTCCAAAACATTGATGTTTTCATAGTGGAAAAATAATCTCTGGACATAGAGTTCTATTAGAATGGAATATTTCCACCACTGAAACAAGAAGAAGAAGGAGAAGGAGGAGGAAGAGAATTAATAGTAGCAGTAGTAATAGTAGTAATATTAACAGTGGTTTGCTTTTGTCTTCTGGATTTCAAACCTAAGACTAAGCATATGATGTGATGACAGTATGCAAAGTTAACTGAATTAGTTGGACTTTAAGAAGAAAATATATTCTCTAACCCTTCCTCATTTTCTTCTTCTTCGGGGACTCCTGTGATGCGAATGTTATTACGTTTGCAGTTGTCCCACAGTTCTCTTAAGCTGTTTTTCTGTTTTTTAATTAATTCTTTCCTTTTGGTT